TGAACCCAGGACGCGGAGGTTGTGGTGAGCCGAGATTGCGCCATTGCACTCCAGCCTGGGTAACATGAGTGAAACTCCGTCTCAAAAAAAAAAAAAAAAGACAAGCTTCCAGTCAGGCATAGTGGCTCTTGTCTGTAATCCCAGCACTTTGGGAGGCCAAAGTGGGAGGATCTCTTAAGCCAGGAGTTACAGACTTTCCTGGACAACATAGGGAGACCCCATTACTACAAAAAATTCAAAAATTATCTGGGTGTGGTGGCACGTGCCTGTAGTCCCAGCTACTTGGGAGGTTGAGGTTGGGGGATCACTAGATCCCAGGAGGCTGCAGTGAGCCATGATGGCGCCACTGCACTTCAGCCTGGGCAACACAGTGAGACCCTATCACTAAATGATAAGCTGCAAACTTGGATAAAAATATATGATAAGGGATTTGTATCCAGAATATATAATGGGCCGGGTGCAGTGGCTCACACCTGTAATCCCAGCACTTTGGAAGGTGGAGGCAGGTGGATCACTTGAGGTGGAGCTCAAGATTAGCCTGGCCAACATGGTGAAACCCCATCTCTACTAAAAATGCAAAAACTTGCCAGGCATGGTGGCATGTACCTATAATCACAGCTACTTGGGCGGCTGAGACAGGAGAATCCCTTGAACCCAGGAGGCAGAAGTTGCAGTGAGCCAAGATCGTGGCACTGCACTCCAGCCTGGGTGACAGAGTGAGGCTCCCTCCTAAAATATAAACAAATAAGGTCGGGCGTGGTGGCTCACACCTGTAATCCCAGCACTTTGGGAGGCCGAGACGGGCGGATCACAAGGTGAAGAGATCAAGACCATCCTGGCCAACATGGTGAAACCATCTCTACTAAAAATACAAAAAATTAGCTGGGTGTAGTGGTGCACGCCTGTAGTCCCAGCTACTCAGGAGGCTAAGGCAGGAGAATCGCTTGAACCCAGGAGGCGGAGGTTGCAGTGAACCGAGATTGCGCCACTGCATTCCAGCCTGGCATCTGGCAACAGAGCGAGATTCTTTCTCAATAAATAAATAAATAAATGACTACAAAATTAGCTGGGCATGGTGGCAGGTGCCTGAAATCACAGCTACTCTGGAGGCTGAGGCAGGAGAATCACTTGAACCTGGGAGGCAGAGGTTGCAGTGAGCCAAGATGGCGCCATTGTACTCTAGCCTGGGCAAAACCTCACCTCAAAAAAAATATATATATATTAAGGTTGAAATTTGAAATTTTGGCTGAGTCGGTCAGGGGAGGTTTCTCTGTGGTGGTGACATTTGAGCAGAGGCCTGAAGGAGGTAACGAGGAGCTACTGCAAATCTGGGCTGGAGAAACAGCCTGCGCAAAGGCCCTGAGGCAGGACTGTGTCTGAGATTTTTTTTTTCTTTCTTTTTTTAGATGGAGTTTACCTCTGCTGCCCAGGATGGAGTGCAGTAGCAAGATCTCAACCCACTGCAACCTCCGACTCCTGGGCTCAAGTGATTCTCCTCCCTCAGCCTCCCAAGTAGCTGGGATTTCAGGCACCCACCACTATGCCTGGCTAATTTTTGTATTTTTAGTAGAGATGGAGTTTTGCCATGTTGGCCAGGCTGGTAGAGATCTCCTGACCTCCAGTGATCCACCCGCCTCAGCCTCCTAAAGTGCTGGGATTACAGGCGTGAGCCACCTCGCCTGGCCTGTGTCTCAGATTTTTAGGGAACAATGAGGAAGCCATTATGGCTGGAGCAGAATGAATGTGGGGGAAAGGGGAAGTCATGGGACAGGACCTGTGAGCTGCAGTGAGGACTTTGGATTTTGCCGAGTAAGGTGGGATCCATAGAAGGTTCTGAGCAGAGGGAGGACTAGACCTCATTTAGGTGTTCCCAAGCTCCCCCTGGTGGTCGTTGAAAGAAGACTGGGCTTGAAAACAGGAGGAGGGACCAGGGCAGAGGTGAATGCAGCTGGTCCTGGCTAGGGATGAGGGGAGCTGGCCAAGGAGTGGGTGAGAAGTAGACACATTCTGGATAAATGTTGGCAGCAAGGCTGATTTGAGATGCAAAGGAAAGTGAATGATCCCACATATTTTGGCCTCGGTGTCCCCAGCACAGCAGTGGGGATGGGTGCCCCCCGGCGCTCAACAAGTGTTCCATCTTTGTAGTTCTGTGTCTCCCATCACTTTTAGGGTATCTGTGTTTCTTTTTTTTTTTTTAGAAAAAAACAGAGCTGGCCGGGCGCGGTGGCTCAAGCCTGTAATCCCAGCACTTTGGGAGGCCAAGGCGGGTGGATCACGAGGTCAAGAGATCGAGACCATCCTGGT